TTCTTTTGCTGGATCATCTGGTAATTCTATTTTTAACTTTCTGAGGAACCACCATGCTGTTTTCCAAAGAACCTGCACCATTTTCCATTCCCACCAGCAACGCACAAGAATTCCAATTTCTCCACATCCTCGCCAACACTTGTTATTTTTATTTGTTTATTTATTTTTGATAGTAGCCATCCTAATGGGTGTGAGAGAGAGCTGCAGTTTTAAAGAGGGTGATCAGCCTAATCTGCTGCTGATGGGAAGGCAAACTGGTGCAGCCTCTATGGAAAACAGTATGGAGATTCCTCAAAAAAGTAAAAATAGAAATACCTTATGATCCAGCTATCCCACTACTGGGTATCTACCCAACGAAGCTGAAATCAACAATCCAAAGAGGCTTATGCACCCCCTATGTTCATCGCAGCATTATTCACTATAGCCAAGACATGGAAGCAACCCAAGTGTCCCTCGCCTGATGAATGGATAAAGAAGATGTGGTATATACATACCATGGAATACTACTCAGCCATAAATAAAGACAAAATCGTCTCATTTGCAACAACATGGATGGACCTGGAGGGTATTATGTTAAGTGAAATAAGCCAAAAAGAGAAAGACAAACAGTGCATGATTTCACTCATCTGTGGAAGATAAACCAACACATGCACAGATAGAACCATTTGGTGGTTACCAGGGGCTATGGGGGTGGGGGTGGGCACAGGGGTGGAGGGATGCGCTTATATGGTGACTGATAAATAATAATGTACAACAAAAATTTCACAATAAAAAAAAGAAAAAAAAGAGGGTGATCAGGGTAGGTTTTGGTAATCGTGGCGTTTGAAACTTGACAAAGGTGAAGCAGAGATCTTGGAGAGGAGCTTTCTGGGCAGAGAGGGTCCTGAGGCAGGGGGCTACCTGGCATGTTTGAGGAACAGCAAGGAGAGAAGAATGGTTGAAGCAGCATGAGTGGGTGGGAGAGTGCAAGGGATGAGGTGAGGTGGGGAGCCATGGGAAGGTTCTGAGTGGAGGAGGGATGTGATCTGACTTTTAAACAACCCCTTGGGCTGCTCAGCATTCTCTGTGCTGAGAATAGGCTGTAGGGAGGCAAGGGTGGAAGCAGGGAGACCAGTAAGGTAGACACTGCACTCAAACCAGGTGACAGATGACAGGGACTTGAACCAGAGTGTAGCAGTAGTGGTGAAGAGAAATGGTTGGAGTCTGGATGTAGCTTAAAGGCAGGACCACTAGGGTTTCCTGATGGATTGAAGTGAAAGAGGAGAGAAAGAGGACTCAAAGTTGGGCCCAAATAGGATGGATGGAGTTACCATCAACTGAGACAGGCGAGGCTGAAAGGAGAGCAGGGTCGGGGAAAGACCAGGAGTTCAAGTTTAGACACGTGCTTTCATTATGGACATTTTCTTAGTGTTCTGCAAAGGAGACCATGGCTTCCAAGTGCTTTGCGGTCTGAACAAGTTGGAGGATAAGAGAAACCAATCCAGAGTGGAGAAAGACAAACAACAGGGGAAGATTCACCGAGATGATGGACTTAAGCTCAATTTGAAAGACAGAGTTTGTAAGAGAGGAGAGAGACAGTGGGTTGAGCAAACACAGGATGAAGTTCCAACTCCTTGTCATGTACTACAGGGCCCTGTATGGCCTGGTCCCTGCCATCCTCTGCATCCTTCCCTTGAGCCTCTTGTTCATAATGCTCCACTGGCCTGATTTTAAGACACACCAAACTTTTTTCCACTTCAGGGCTTTTAACCACACAGTCCCCTCTGCCTGGAATGCTCTCATCCCATCTCTTTTCCTGGATGACTCCTACACATCTCTGGGGGCTCAGTTCCAGTGTCACTTTCTCAAGGAAGCTTCTCTGATCCTCTCCCTCCCTCATCTAGAACCAGTCACATTGCACCCTGCATGTGTCCTTTGTAGCCCTTAAGACAATTCTCATAATTAATGTGCAATTGTGTACTCAGTGTCCACCTCTCTCACCAGACCAGGGCTGTCCAATAGAACTTTCTGCAGTTACGGAAATGTTTTAGCTCTAGGCTGTCCAATATGATAGCCACTACCACACGTAGCTATTGAGCACTTGAAATGTGGTTAGTGCAACTGATTTTTCAAATATGACATATTTTATTTATAAATTATATTTTTATTGTATCTTATACTATACAAATTATTTCATATGCAAATTACATAATTTAAGTTTAAATTTAAATAGCCACCTGTGGCTAGTGGCTACTGCATTGGGCTTGGCAGCTCCAGACTGTGAGCTCCTTGAGAGCAAGGACCATGTCTACCTTATTCAGTTGAGAATCTCTTGTACCTAGAAGGGTGCCCAAGTAAATCACTGAATCCGTCAACGAATCAATGTAGTCTACAAAACTTACTTTCAAGAAATCATCCTAGAAAGGAGAGACTCAGAAAAGTCTGACCTGCACAAAGTCATAGAACAAGACAGAACTAGATACAAAATCTCAGCCTCCTGAATCTCCTGTATATGGTGCTGTGCCTGAGTGTACAGCAGGTGAAAAGCAGAGGTTGTTTGTGGTCTCAAATGAACCATCCTAGAGCTGTGTGAAGGTCCCCCCAAGTGCAAGGAAGGACTGTTTTCTTAGGCACCCTCATCCCCTTTTCCCCTCCCCTGACCCTGCAAATGACTTAGTGGCTTGCCATCTATTAACACTTGACCTCCCACGGGACTGAGGCTGTTCCACAGTCCACTCTTGCCAACTCTCTACAAGGCACTCTGATTTTTTTTTTAAACCATATTGCTCTCAGGAAATCTGCTGCCTGCAATCTGTGCATATATATACAGGGCGTGATTTAAAACACATCTAAGTCGTGATTTGTAACCCACTCAGATTCACGTGGCTGTTTCTTCTACTTTACTCTTTTTTATAAATTGAGGTTATCACGTTTCAGGGCTAATTTTGACTTCATTCAAATGTAATTTGGGGTTTGCAGATTACAATTTTGGGGAGCTCATCATAGGGAGCCTACATATTTTGTTTTTATAAATGATTTTTCAGACGTAATAATAATAGTAGTTTATATGTGTTGAGTGCTTTGGATCTGCCAGGCTTTTAGCACCCATATTTCATTTGATCTTCACAATAAGCCTATGAATTAAGTACTATTACAATCCCCATTTTATGGCTAGAGAAACTGAGTTTCAGAAAGGTTATGTTACTTGCTCAAAGTCACACAGCCAGGAAGTGGCAGAGTCAAGATGTGAACCCAAGTCTGTCTTATTCAATGCTAACCAGTACACAATTTTGTCTCTCTAATAGATATTCTACGTATTTATGTGATTAAAACATGAGAGAGAATAATCGAGAAACTTAACACTGGGGTTTGGAAAGAGAGAGATTTAATTTCCTTTCTTGTTCTTCTTTCTGAACTTTATTTACTCCGTGACTATATTGTATTAATATGCTATATTATATATTAGTATGGAAACTAATTTTTAAATTTAAGTAAAAACCTTTTATTATTACTTTTTTATTAAAGAAGGAATTGTCACAATAGCGTCATGTCTATATATTAGTAGATTAAATATACGTGAATCTTTAAGTAATTTGCAAAGTTCACACGCTCTGACATTATTTGAAAATTTATCCCAGTAAAACTGCAGTTCCAACATGTATTGTATTCTTATTCTGAGTACCAAATTTTGTATTTCAGTTTTTGAATTATTTTTTATTTTTAAATAATAGGTTGGTTTTTGAACATATTTGTTTTCAATGAAAGTAATATGTTTTCTTTGAGAGATTTACACTCAGATATTTACATTTTTATGTACTCACGCATCAACATCTGGATATTATAACCAAGCATCCTGTTGCATTTGTGAAATAATGCTGTCTTACATAAGATATTCTATTTGTGGATCAATTAATAAAAGCTTAAAAGTAAATTTTGAATTAATTAAAATTTTTTAATGAAAATTATTGTTGCACCAATTGAGAAGTGAACATTACAATACCCTTTAGTACTCAGAGCCTCAGAGAGCCATATCAGTCACACTAAAAGTCACTTGGGAGAATTCCTCAGTGGCTTAGAGAGAAAAAAAAATTTAAGTCGAGAAAATACACACATACTAACAATAAATGTACCCTTTCCAACAAATTCAAATGCTGTCTACTTTTATGGTCCAAATGGCTAGTGCTTCTAAAAATTAAAACAAAAATCCCCATTAATGTTCTTTTTAATGCCCCATCTCATACTCTTGGAATTTGCTTGACAAATCACCATCAGCTTGTGGTAGGAGAAATCTGTAAGTCCCTCTACAGGGCCTCTGTCCTTTCCATTGCTTGGTTCTCCAAGATTCTCAGAGCCTATTTAGTATCCCTTAAAAATTCCCATCCTCGAAGCAGTATATTCCTGATAGTCCCAAGGATAGCTCTTGACAGTAAGTCTCACTCTAGCTAGCTGTTACAAAAATCTTTCATTCAGAAGAAGGCAAGAGGTTTCAGCGAGGATGCACAGCCCTCTCATTCACACACTTCATAAACAACAAGACTTTGCCCAAGCCTCTCCTCTAGGAAGGAATCCCCACTTTTTAGAAATCAATTTGCAACATCAGTATCATTCCCTTGCAAAAGACCTTGCAGAAAAATTAGGAATTTTACAGCATAGGAGCAGGGCTAGAAAGGACCAATGTCATTGCATGCACTCATCAATTCAGTCCACATTTCAAAACAGCAGCTAATGCTTTCTTAAAACACAAACCTCAAAATCTCTTTAGGATTGAAAGCAATTAAAAGGGAAAACATAACACCAGTCGGTCCCCATAAGATTCTGACAGATCTGAAAAATCGAACTGAGTCAGAGATACAGGGGCTGGGCTGCTTGGGTAGGAAAATGGCTTGTTTCCTCCGGGCCTAATTCTCTCCTCTGAAACAGTTTCCTTTAAATTCAAGAAGCCATGCAGAGATGCCCCCCTGCGGGTTTTCGTTTTTGAAAGGGAAGCCTGTCTGCCTTTCACTCGCCCCCATCATACTCACGGCAGCTGCCTCAGCTGGAATAAGTCCTCCTCCATGTCCGCGCTGCGCCAGGACGAGCCCTGTTCATGGCCCTTACATGGTGGTGGTGGAGGACGAGCGCTCGGGGTTTCAGCACCGGGGTGCTGGACAGCTCCCGCCCGCTTCCTCCCTCCCGCGGCAGCTGTTCGGGGGAGGGAGCCGCCGGGGACCAGCCCACGAGACAAAGCCGCCGCCGCCAGGAGACCGCGGCGAGAGTGGGCGGAGAGGAGGAGGCGGAGGGCAGAGCAATCTGCGCGGGAGAGGGGGCGGGGAGAGCCCTTCTGGTTAGAGGAATTTACAGGCTCTCTGTGGCCGGTGGTGTTTTACTGGGGTGCCTATAGGGCACACCAGGCTGTGAAATGGCTGTCGAGGCACCAATGAGCACTCTCGGGGTGACGATGCCTCTCTAAATGTTTATCTGCAGGGATTCATTGATGTTGTTGTGGGTATAATATTCTTGAAACCCAGGCTGCTATAACAGATGCAGGGAATGAAAAATTTAAAAATGTATTCATGCATTAAAGTACTGTTTATTGAGCACCTACTGTGTGCCGGGCACTGTCATAGGTGCTGGGCATATGACAGAGAACAAATTAGATATGTCATTGTCATCACAGAGCTGAAGGTCTAGTGAAATGAATCAAGAAAAAATATAAGTGTGGGAAGGCCAAGGATCAGTCATTCATTCGTTCAACAAGCATTGAGTGATTTCTACAGCCCTGATGCTGGGGAGTCAAAGATTAATAAAATTATACCCCTGCCTTCAAAATCCTCATCATCTAGTTCAACGGTTCGCCCATCCTCCTCCCACTAGAATGTCTGCCCCCCTTTAGAACTGAAGCACCATAAAGGTTTCCTGATGTACCCTGAGGGCCTAGAACAATAAAACTTTATTTATGGACACTGAAATTGGAATCTAATATCCCTCACTATACTCAACCCCATGGCTTTGCATTGTGGGCACTCAATAAATGCTTGTTAAAATGAAAACAAGCTGATCTTTCATTCAGGTGAGGAGAGATTCAGTATCTATTGTAAGTCATGGAGAGCAGAGATAATGGTTTATATCAGGATGTCCAACTCATCTTGCTTTGCCCAGGACTTTGAGTTTTAGTGCTGAAAGTTCCATGTCCTGGGAAGCCCTGAGTCCAAGCAAACCTGGACAATTGGTTACTCTACAACCATAAGCCAGATCCAACATAGAGATGAGTTTTGAGTAGCCTGAAGGGTTAAAAAGAATACTTTTCAGTGTAAGATTTAAAATTATAAAACTTTTAGAAGAAAGCATAGGGGTAGATCTTCATGACCTTGAATTAGGCAATGGTTTCTTAGACAGGACATCAAAAGCACATGTGACAAAAGAAAAAAATGGATACGTTGGACTATATCAAAGTTAAAAGCTTTTATGTTGCAAATAACGCCATCAAGAAAGTGAAAAGACAAAACCTGCAGAATGGGAGAAAATATTTGCCAACCATATATCTAATAAGAGACTTAGAAGTTCGAAAAATATAAAGAACTCTTACAACTCAATAATAAAAAGACAAACAACCCAACTTATTTTAAAAATAGGCAAAGGATATGAATAGACATTTCTTCAAAAAAGAAATATAAGTGGTCAATAAGTACTTGAAAAGATGCTTAACATCACCAGTCATTAGGGAAATGCAAATCAAAATTACAATGAGATATCATTTCACACCCACTAGAATGGCTAGAATCAAAGAGACAGACAGTAACTAGTGTTGGTGAGGATACGGAGAAACTGGAACTCTCATACAATGCTGGTGGGAATGTAAAAAGATGCAGCTGCTGTGGAAAACAGTTTGGCAGTTCCTCAAAAATTTAAACAGAATTACCACATGACCCAGCAATACTACCCCTAGGTATACACCCAAGAGAAATGAAAACATATGTGCACACAAAAATATGTGCACAAGAGTTAATAGCAGCATTATTCATAATAGCCAAAAAATGTCCATCAACTGATGAATGCATAAACAAAATGTGGTCTGTCCATACGATGGAATATTATTCAGCAATAAAAAGAAATGAAGTGCTGATTCGTGCATAACATGAATGAACCTTCGAAACTCATACTGAGTGAAACAATCCAGACACAGAAGGCCACATATTGTATAATTTCATTTATACGAAATATCCAGAATAGGCAAATCTATAGAGACAGAAAGTAGATTAGTGGTTGTCTAGGAGTGAGAGTGGGAGCAGGGAACGGGGATCGACGGCATGTGAGATTCTTTTAGGGGATACAAAAATGTCCTAAAATTAGATGTGGTGATAGTTGCACAACCCTGTGAATATGCTAAAAAACATTGAATTGTACACTTTAAAAGAGCAAATTGTATGGTATGTGACTTATAGCTCAGTAAAGTTGTTCTTTTTTAAAAAAATAATTATTTTAAAAATTGGTTTCCAATTTTTTCCAACGTGTAAATAGAGAGATTTCACATAATAGGATTATCAGCTTCTTGGGAAAAGGAGGAGGCAGCCTTCCTCCACTGGGTCTGCCTTTCTCTCTGGCCACTAGCAAATGGGGCGACAGAGTGGTCTGCCTTGCGCTGTCCAGGATGCATCCAGGCCATAGCAAGCTTCGCACGTTTATATTCCCTGCCTGCTTTCTGGAGACTTTTGAGGTGCACGCCCCGAAAACTGGGAGAACAGTACTTAGTACGTAACAGGCATTGAAAAAAATCTTAGAGAATTAATTAATTGCTATAATGCTTTCTCTTCTTTCTTAGAAATATGGTTATATTTTTCCAAAGCAGTGTTTTTCACCTTTGTGTGAGGGTCAGCATCCTCCAGAAGGCTTGTTAACACACAGATGGCTGGGCCCCACCCCCGGAGTTTCTAATTCAGCAGATCTGGGGTGAGGCTTGAAAGTTTGCATTTCTAGCATGTTCCTGGGTGATGCTGATGCTGCTGGAATGGGGACCATCCTGAGAATCTCTGTCCTAAAGTTATATCTGGATGAGATTATCAGCCAAGACAAGTATAGCCCATATTTGTTTATATCTCTGGTCTTTGAGACATCCTTGGGCAGATAGGAATATTATAAAGGCACTTGCCTCCAGCTAACCACATTGTCCATCTGTCTGGGAAATGGGGACATGCCAAAAGCCAGATGGGTTGTATTTCACATCAGAGTAATGCATCACGATTTCCTTCCTCAGATTCTTAAAACAAAAGTGAATATTTTAAAATAGAGGCTGAAATAGAGACTGACAAGCTGCCCCTAGACTGAACATAAAAAGCATGTGCTATGTACAAGCGGTTCCGCAATCAACTGTGTTCTAAACCCTATTTTTATCAAGACAATATTCTACTAGTTATAAAAATGGCACTTAATTAAAATATGGAAGTCCATGGATTTAAATTCATGAAGAGATTTATCTTTTTTTCTTGGGAATGGAAATTGGATAAAAAAACTGAAAGTGAAAAATAAACCTTTGAGGGTAGATCCCTGCTCTGCTAGCCATGCTGATGGGATGGCACCTCCACCTGGAGTCACTCCCAGGTCCCTGGCATGGTGATGGGAGGCGCTAAGTACCTCCTGACTTTGTCACAGGAGTCAGCAGAAAGGGGAGGCTTGGCTAGGAAGTTAAACCCTTGTTAAAAAATATAAAGGTGTGCTACTTCAAAGAGTCCCTTGGTTACATGTCTCCTCCTGCCGTGAAATACATGATGTTTAATCTACAACTAGAGAGGCCTGAAGAGGGCAGAGAGAACATTTGTGCAGCTGGCTCGAAATGCAAACTGTGAAACTCTCCCAATAAAACCCTTATTCCTCAGGTTGTGTGTTTCCAGAGGGATGTACAATAAGCAAGCAAGAGAGGTGACTCAGCAGCCAGTACACCTGTCCATACCTAGGGAAGAGGTTATCAAGCAGAAACAGTTCAAGGTGTCTGAGTAGTCATCAAAGAAATGGTGGTCTTCTCTCCACAATATTGTGACACATGACTTATGTTTTCAAGTTCATTCATTCAGAATATTTCCTAATTTCACTTGTTAATTTTTCTTTTACTATTGATTATTTAAGAATGTGTTGTTTAATTCACACATATTTATGAATTTTTCAAATTTCCTTCTGTTATTTATTTCTAATTTTATTCTATTGTGGTTGGAGGACATACTTGGTCTGATTTCGATCTTTTTAAATTTGTTTAGATTTATTTTATGGCCTAACATTGTTGGGTGGAGTGTTCTATGGATGTCTGTTAGATCTAGTTGGTTTATAGTGTTGCTCAGGTCTTCTCTATCTTTGCTGATCTTCTGTCTAGTTGTTCTATCCACTATGGAAAGTGGGATATTGAAGTCTCCAACTATTATTCTTGAATTGTCTATTTCTCTCTTCAATTCTGTCCTATTTTTCTTTATGTATTTTGGGGCTCTGTTGTTAAGTGCATGTATACTTAGAGTTGTTATATCTTCTTGATGGATTGACCCTTTTATCATTATAAAATGCCCTTCTTTGTCTCTTGTAACAATTTTTGTCTTAAAGTCTATTTTGTCTGTTGTTAGCATACTTACTCTAGCTCTCTTTTGGTTACTGTTTCCCTGGAAAAACTTTTTCCATACTTTTACTTTCAACCTATTTGTGTCTTTGAATCTAAAATGAGGCTCTTATAGCCAGCATATCGTTGGATCATGTCGTTTTATCCATTCTGCCCATCTCTGGCTTTTAATCAGAGTCTAATCCATTTAAATTTAGTATAATCATGGATCATGTAGAAAACAAATTGATATTTGTTTTAAATATATTTTATATCTATTTTGTTCCTCAATCCCTCCATTACTGCCTTGTTTGGTGTTAAATACGTATTTTCTAGTGTATCATTTTAATTCCCTTGTCATTGCTTTTACTATATATTTTTCAGTTATTTTCTTAGTGGTTGCCTTGGAGATTACCATTAATATCTCAATTTATAATGATCTAGTTTGGATTAATATCAACTTAATTTCAGTAGTATACAAAAACATTCCTTCTATATATCTCTGTTTCTCCCCCCTGTTAAGCTGTTATTGTCACAAATTACATCCTTATGCATTGTGTGCCCATCCCAACATAGATCTGTAATTATTGCTTTAGGAAGTTATCTTTTAAATCAGGCAGGAGAAAAAAAGGAGTTACAAACAAAAAATATATTTTTCCATCTTTTATACTTACCTACATAGACACCTTTACCTGTACTCTTATTTA